TTACAGTATACTAACACATATATATGGAATTTAGAAAGATGGTAACGATAACCCTATATGCAAAACAGAAAAAGAGACACAGATGTATAGAACAGACTTTTGGACTCTGTGGGAGAAGGCGAGGGTGGGATGTTTCAAGAGAACAGCATCGAAACATGTATATTATCTAGGGTGAAACAGATCACCAGCCCAGGTTGGATGCATGAGACAAGTGCTCGGGCCTGGTGCACTGGGAAGACCCAGAGGGATCGGGTGGAGAGGGAGGTGGGAGGGGGGATCGGGATGGGGAATACATGTAAATCCATGGCTGATTCATGTCAATGTATGGCAAAAACCACTACAATATTGTAAAGTAATTAGCCTCCAACTAATAAATGAAAAAAAAAAAAAAAGGAAGTGTGCTCACCTAGCATCTCTCCTGGTATGTGCAGCATGTGGACACAGGTTGGCCCACTTTTTGCTTCTATGCTGGGTCCCCACAACTTGAAGTCATGTCTCTCACGTTGGAAAGCAAGGCAGATGAGATGAGGCAGCTTTGAGCTGGGTTTCCCAGGGTCTGGGCCACAGCTGACTGCCATCTGCAGTGCTGCCTGGGCAGCAGACAAAGCTCTCGGGAACTGAGGAGCTGCTTATCACCATACTTCAGCCCTCTAGTCAGGAAAAGGGCTTAGCTAGTGAACAGCTCACAGGAATGAGGGCATTTACCTTGGACCAGAAACCATGTCTGAGGACAACTCTGCCCACGTCCTCCTTTTCAGCCAGAGACGGGATGCTCCAGAGATGCTGAGGTTTCCTCATGGGGCAGCACTTCTCATAACATGCATACAAGTCCCCTGGGGTCTTGTCCAATGGCTGACTAGGTTCCAGATGGCTGAAATTCTGCGTTTCTAATCAAACTCCCAGGAAGCACTACTGCCCGCAGTCCTAGACCAAACTAGGCAAGAAACTCAGTGACAAGAAACCCTTCTCAGGATGCCCCTGGCTTTCAAGCCCAAGTCCAGGCTTTTTACTGAGGCTCCTATGCTCTGCTTGACTCGACCCCCATTTCCAGCCTCTGCTTCCGTCTTCATTACTGCATGGTCCCCTGATCCTCAGAAGACCCATATCCAGAAAATTTAAAGAACTCCAACAAGTCCACTAAAAAAAATGACAAACAGTCCCATAGAAAAATGGATACGAAACTTGACTAGGCATCTTATGCTTGCTGTTTGAGGGGCAGACAAATACTACAAGGTAGAGGGGCTACTGTTGACCTTCCCAATCCAAATGGGCAGAAGTCACTTTTGGGGGAAGCCTCGGGTGGGAAGTTGCATCCATGGAACCCACAGAAAGTTGCCTTGGGGCTGCTCTTAAATTCACTAGTCCACCTGATGACTGAGCCCCACAGGGACAAGGACGTGAGCCCACACCCCTTCTCCTCCGGTGCGCCCTGTACTGACAAAGCTTAACTCGGAGCCAACTGTCGACGGATACCCATCAACAGGGTCCAGTTTTGCACTCCCAGGCTGTGCACTCAACCGTGGATTTGGAGCAGAGAGGCAATACATTGAAAACTGGCACGGGGCAAATAATGGTCATGTATCGGGAGTTCTTTACACTACTCTTGAACACTTCTATATGTTTGAAATTACTCCTAAATTTAAAAACTATACTAGAAGAATGCCATTAGCTGAAATTGGTCAAAATAAGACATTGGGGAGGATGCTTTCTTGATTTGAAAAATTGCATTGGATTCTAGAAGAGAATTTGATTTTGGTCTTTGATTCTTCTGAGCTTTAAAAGATTTTTATTTCTTTTAATTTTTGAATTTTTATATATCTTCTCTGTGCTAGGTCTTTATTATAGCATTCAAGCTTCTCTAGTTGAAACTCGAGGGCTCTGTTTGCAGCATGCTGGTTTAGTCACCTTGTGGCATACGGGATCTTAGTTCCCCGACCAGGGATCAAACCTGAGTCCCCTGGATTGACAGGTGGATTCTCAACCACTGGACCCCCAAGGAAGTCCCTCTTTTAATTTTTCTAAAAGAAGGTTAGGAAGTAATGGAAGGAACCAAACTTGGGTCCACTCACCTGCAGGCAATAAAGACAATGTACAAACACCAAGGAAAGTTCAGCATGTAATGCAGGGCTCCAAGCAAGGAGTCCAGGAAGCTAGTGCTCAAAGACCCCAACTCCTAGATGGATTTCAGGGAAAGGTTTTTAAAGACAGGGTGAGAGAGGGGGATTGTGGGGTGCATGACCAGCTCGTGGACAGTCTTCCGATTGGTGGGTGGTGAGGTAATCAACTGTCAACATCGTCAGCCATCTGGCTCCGACCAGCCTGGGATCCATGTGCTTGAAGGCTTGCAGGCAGCAAACAGTTAACTTCCTCCCCCTGGTGGGGGTTTCAGTATCTGCAAAGCAACTCAGGACTCAGAGCTCAGAGTATTCTCCATAGCCCTGGAGGGAGAACTAAAGATCCTTGACTTTGTTTAGTGGGCTGGACTGTTATTATTTTATCTTGCTTGACTGTTTTCCTGTCTTTCTGCATTTTCTCACTTCTCTAATTTATTCTTTGGAACTCAGGAAAGGCGTAGGAGGCTAAAGTTTTTCTACAGACAAGAGGCAGGCAGAGGACCGTGAGGAGAGGGGTAGAGGTATCCAAGGGACATCTGGTATCAGATGGCTCCGCTCTCACTGGGTTGTGTAACTGCACCTTCCTCATCTTACAGAGAATGCCTCAGAACTGAGAGGTGTCTCAGGACTCCTGACTGTGATGGAGGGCCGTGTGCCACCTCCGGGGCACCCAAGAAGAACCCCACTCAATCCAGAAGGGAGAGGACAGTGGGGGTGGGGGTGGGGGTTGCCCTAAGTAACAGGAGGAGTAGATGGGCTTCTCTTGGCCAAGAGAACAAAGATGTAACCGGTGGGGAGATAAGATGAGGGGAAGACATCTGTTCACCAGAATTCCAGGTGATGTAGATGAGTGTGTTTCTGGGATGTAGACCCTGATAGGGAAGTGTGTGTGGAGCAGGGGTGCTGCCTGCTGAAGGCATTTCGGGGAGGAAGACGGCACAGAAGCTGCTTGGGCTATGAGGAAGGAAGGAAGGGATGCAGAAAGGGGTGGAGGGAGAAGAGGAAAGTCTTCTTTCCAGAAGCTTCTGCCCCAGTGGAGGAACCAGAGAACCTCTCCCTTTCCCCGCCTCCCCCCCACCCCTCCATCCTCCCTGCATGCTGACCCAGAGCGCTAGTAAGGATTCAAGCTTATGTCAAGGTGTTTTCTCCCAGATGGATGCTGCATATCTGCACCCAGGTGGAGTCCTGGATTTTACTCAGGCGACTCTTATTTCGTGGCTCAACAAACCAAAACTCAGAAAGGCGACCAGGCCAATAAGCCTCAGAGGTGAATCTCCAGTCTCCATTGTCTGATTCTTTTCTTTTATTCCAAACTATCCACAAAACAAACAAAACCCCAAGTTTTGTGAATACAGTATTTTACGCAGGTATTATTATTGATAATATTTATTCAGAACTTGAACAATGCTCATGCACACTTACAGAACAATATTAAATGGGGTGAAAGCTATTTACTTACTGTTAGGCTCATGAAAAATTTATAAAAAGGGAATGACAGCAACAAAAGCAGGAACCACAGCCTGGGAGACAACTATTTAAAAACCCTGGATCATAAGGGAGTCCCCATTGCCCATCTTAGAAACCAGCCCAGCACGGGTCCCTAGATGTCGCCCTGCCCTTTTCCACGAAGGAGCCCCCAGCCGGCAGCAGGCACATCTGGGGGTGATGAGGCCACGGTGGCTGAACCTGACAGAAGTCTGTCTGAGAAATGGAAAGACAGATGCCTGATGACATCACTTTAATCCCCTGGGTACACACACACACACACACACACACACACACACACACACACCTGAAGCTCACTGTTCCCTTAAGGTTTTAAGGTTCATGAGCCAATAAATTCTTTTTTTTTTTATAAGTCTGTTTAAATTGGTTTTGGCCACTTAACAGTAATGACTAATATATATCTAATTAAAAAGTTATAGGTACAGTCAAAAAAGTTTGTAACAACAAAAACCAATGTCTATAAAAACACAGGGAAACATGGAATGGTAGAAAATATTCCTAAGTGAAAACAGCAAAATGGAAGGTTATAGCTCTGCAGACAAATGAGGGAATTGAGAATGAAAAAGAAAGAAAACTCAGTGGGTTATAGGAAAAATCTATTTTACAATGCAACCTTGAAGAAGGGTCTCCAGCAGGCAGTAACACCCAAAGCAAGAAAAGCACAGAAGAAAATTCTCCACCAAAATAACCAGCAGCTGTCAGCCTTGACTGGGGCACTATTTTCTGCCCTTATTACTTTCCTGAATTTTACAAAGTTGTGCTGAATGTCCATGCACGACTTCTAAAATAGCAGCTGAAACACAGAAAAGAAAAAAAAAAGATGTAAGACGGGTGAACTGGGAACTGAGAAGAGTCCTTACAGGTTCTGAGGTCCTGAAGAGCTCCGAGCGAGCGCTTGTGCCTGGTGAGGAGGACAGAGGGGCCCCTTCCTCATGCAAATCTTGTTGAGCAGGTTCCAGTAACATCCTTTTTTGTGCAAACCTCCAGGAACTTCTCTGGCAATTACTGCCCAGGTGGGGGATGGGAAGGACAGAGAAGGGCAACCCGACCTGAGTTGATACACAAGAGAGAACACAACATACCCTCCATCCCAGGAGCCCTTGTGTCTGATGTCAGCACTTAACATAGAGCCTGGCGTCAACAGTGCAAGAGAGTAAGTGTGAGGGGAGGAGACGCTAGAGTCCAGGGAGTGAGTTACATGCGGGAAGGAAGAGGGGGAACCGACTGACTCCCACTAGCAGGCAGTGTGACACTCACCAGCTGCCAGAGCCCTGGGGACCCTCGTGGGCCTGCCAGCTGGTAAGTCTCCAGGCCATTGCTTCTGCCAACCCTGCCCGCCCCCTCCCTGGTCCCCTTTGATTCCACTCAGAGACCCCTAGTTCAATTGCCTTCATCTTCCCCTGTCACCTGGGATCCGGCCTCCCCACGCCTGGCTGGTGGCAGAGGCACGGTCTCCATGGTTCCCTCCGAAGAGGAGCTCATAGGCTTTTTTTCTTGCAAGAGGTTCTGAAAAAAAAAAAAAAAAAAAAAAATCCCACNGAAAGTGAAAAGTGAAAGTGAAGTCGCCCAGTCGTGTCTGACTCTTGGCGACCCCATAGACCGCAGCCTACCAAGCTCCTCCGTCCATGGGATTTTCCAGGCAAGAGTACTGGAGTGGGCTGCCATTGCCTTCTCCGATGTATAAAGGTTAGGGGAATACATTTCAATCCTTAACGCTCCCCAGGGCTCAGTGTCCTCTTCTGTACCGCTGGGAAGACCCTCTTCCCAGTACATGGACGTCAGGAAGCACTGATGGAGGTTATGTAGCAACTTGGATGGAGCAGAATTTGGGGGAGAACGGGTCCATGTGTATGTACGGCTGAGGCCCTTTGCGGTCCACTTGAAACTATCACATAGTTAACCAACTATACTCCAATACAAAATATAAAGTTGTTTTTCTAAACAAAGTACAAGTTAAAAAACAAAAAGAACCATTGATGGGAAAACAGAAGGCATGACAGGTCTGTCCAGAACAGTATCAAGATGTACTTGATACCGTTTGGACCTCCAGGGCCACCAGACACCCCACATCCTCGGGAATCGGCAGGCAAACTACACACACTGGCTTCCTCATCACCCTTCCCATAGATCCCAGTGCCCATAAGCCCAGGTAAAGCTTTCCCTCCGCTCTGCGCCACCCACGAGGGCCCGCACCTCACCCTCTGCTCCAGGCTCTCGTAGCGCTGGGTGAGCTGTGTCAGCTGCCTTCCCAGCTCCCGAGCCCGGGCCCTTAGCTCTGCTGCAAGCTCGGTTCTGGCTCCCTCCTTCAGCTGCTTCCAGTCCCTAAGAAGGGAGGCCAAGTCCACGCTGAGGGAAAAGCCAGCCATCGCGCTGCCCAGCAAGCGAGCCTTGGTTTTCATCACCAGTGTGGTACCTTCAAAGGCCCTTTGCACCTGTATGCTCCTTCGGGCTGAGACCTGGCCAGTGGTCAGGAGGCGCTTGGCAGCAGTGGCCAGGTGTGGGTGGGCCTTGGTGATCTGAAAGGCACGGATGCTCTTCTGAACACCCTCGATGGCGCTTCTACAATTCTGAATCACCTTTCCAGCGGCCATGATGTAGTCTACCCCAGCTTGCCTGACCTTTTGGCCATTGGAGGGCATTAGGCTACCCACCTGAGCTTGGGCTTCTTGACTGTGAAAACGTTCCAAAACGTTGGTCAAGATACTGGTGACCTCCCCTGCTGTCCCCAAAACTCTACCTGCAGCGGAGAGCACCAGGCTGCCCCCTGCTGTCGCCGGAGCAAGGACTAAGCCCAGTATGCTCATGGCTCCGGAAACCACGGTGATGGAATTGGCCACCACGCTGGTCTTGGTGAGAGTTTTGTTTGTTGTGTCAATGCGGTCTGCAAGGGCCTGGAGCTTCCGGATGTCTACTTCCAGCTCCGCTTTCAGGTTGGGAAACTCTTCCAAAAATATTCTTTCTTCAGCTGACAGGTCACTATCTTGCGGCTTCACATCGTCACATGGAAGAATGTCATCCGCATCCCTGTGGATGAGTGAAATAATGATTTCCAGTCCCCCAGATGGGAAAGCCAAATTCTTAGCCAAGCCCATGTGGTTTCTGGATCTTCTTGACAGTCAAAACTTTACATTCTCCTTGCATCTTCCTAGCATCTCTATTACCTCTAGCCTAACCATTAATAAGAAAAGTCCCAGAGCATCATTAGGAGCTGCTAATTTTCTTCAGAGAAGAAACATGTAAGAGGGGCATCTGGAGGGAAATGAGAGAAATGGAGCCTTGGCCAAAGAGATGGAGGAAACGGATTAGCATCAAGGGACTTTTTCAACCTTGCTCAGAGGCTATGAAGGTGGGGCAGTGGGAGATGCTAAGATCCTAGTCATGATCAGGAACCTGGGACTAACTGGGGACAGGGAAAGCTCCAAGGAAAGTAGGAGGAAGAGGAGACCAGGTGCTGGGCGGGAGGTTGGGAGCCCTGTGCACGGAGGTGAGTCGGCGGGAAGAGGCACCATACTGTAGAGTGCATCCTTCACTTTGATGGCCTGGAACTCAGTTACTCTGCTGTGCCTTGTTTCTCTCAGGAGTCGCACCCTGAGGGGCTGAGATAAATGATCGCTAACGTTCTGAGTGTTCTCCTTGGCACTTGGCTGGCTTTCCTTGCTCTCTTAAGCAGATTGATTCTTCATGGAAGAAGTCAGGGACGAGAGGACCCCTTCCCCTCCCCCATCCTCTCCTTGTCCTTAGGCAGCACCGAGGGATCTTTGCCGGGATCTTCATGTGGCCTTCATGGGAGAACAGTCTGCGGGTGAGGAAGAAAGCCGCTCCCCCGGGTGCTTTCCTCAAGCTCAGCGTCCTGGGTGCAACTCCTTCAGGGCGAGCTGAGGAGGACAGGGATTCCCTGGCCCACAGGAGGATATCAGAGCTGGAAGGAGCCCTGGGGAAGAGCTAAGCTTCCTCCTTTACTTTTCTGTGGTGGAAGCAGAAGCCCAGATGGGGCGTGAAAGTGTTAGTCACTAAGTTGTGTCCAACTCTTTGGGATCCTGTGGACTGCAGACCACCAGGCTCCTCTGTCCATGGGATTCTCCAGGCAAGAATACTGGAGTGGATTGCCGTGGACGGAGGAGCCTGGCGGGCTACAGTCTATAAGGTCACAAAGAGTCGGACACGCCTGAATGACTGAGTATGCCTGCATCCTACGTTAGGCGGCAATGCCTCTTGACACAGAGAGAACTACAGTCTGATTCTGTTACACAGGTGTAGCTCACCTAATTCCCTCAGGAGACATTGGCTGATGGCCTGTGCGGGGCTGGCTTTGCTATGTCTGCTGATGAACACACGCTGGAGCTTACATTCATGAATGAGGCAGTGTTAAAGGGCTTTTTTGGTGATACACTAACCTCACAGAGGTGAGGTCCAAGGGGGCAATTTCTGCCCTTGGAGTCCTGTGGCCCAGGGTCAGGTACCTAACAAGAACTTGACTTGCATTCCAAAATAATTAGTGTAAACCATGGAATATTTTTCTTCCAGTGACATAGCTTCATGTACATAATGGAGACCAGTGAGAAGGCAGGCCTCATTTACAGCTGTTCTCCTGGGACACGTTTGTCACATGTCATGAGAATGCCTAAGCACTTCTGCAGACGTCACCCTTTCCCCAGGGACATAGGGCTCTGGATTACCTTTGCAAACCGACACCAGTCTTGCAGGCTTTCCCTGCCTGCCCGCCGAGCAGGTTCTGTGGCATCAAATCCATGTTCCTTTTGTCCGTGGGAGAATGAGAGCTGTCTCCACGACTCAAAGGATCTCCTGGGTGGAGCCACAGAAAACAAGTTTACTGCAGGGTTCATGAAATCACGTGAAATTCAAGTGTGGGGACTTCCCTGGCAGTCCAGTGGTTAAGGTTCTGTCCACAGTTCCCATGCAAGGGACACAGGTTCAATCCCTGGTGGGAGAACTAAGATCCCACCTGCTATGAGGTGTGGACAAAAAGAGTTTTAAAACTTCAAAAAAGAAACTCAAGTGTGGAGGGATTTTAGATGACGTGAAATCCAAATAATAAGACATAAAGGACTAAATATTTGAAAACTGTTGTTTTTACATTATATGTTGGGGTGAGCTTATATAGAATAAGTACGCAAAACGAAGTCCTCAGCTTGATAAAGTTTGACGTCACACATCCGAGTCATCACCAGCCAGATCGAGATAAAGGACAGAAGGTTTCCTTAATGCCAACCCAGTCAACATGCACCCCACCACACGGGTGATCACTGCTCTGATTTCTATGACTTTTAATTTGTTTGCCTGGTCTTGAATTTCACGTCCATGGCATCCGTTGTTTGGTTTCTTTCGCTCAATACAATGTCTGTGAAATTCTTTCATGTTGTCATGGTTTTAAAAACATTAAGTAGCTTCAAAAAATGAGAGGGCTTCCCTGATGGCTGAGTGGTAAAGAACCTGCCCGCCAATGTGGTAAACACTAGTTCAATCCCTGATCAGGGAAGATCCCACCTGCTAGGGAGCAACTAAGGCCATGCATGCACCACAACTACTGAGCCTGTGCTCTAGAGCCTGGTAACTGCAACTGCTGAAGCCCGCATGCCCTAGAGTCTGTGCTCTGCAACAAGAGAAGTCCCTGCAGTGAGAAGCCCCCATTAGCCGCAGCTAGAGATAAGCTCTCGCAGCAACGAAGATCCAGCACAGCCCAAAATAAATAATGATAGAGATACATCACAAAGCAAATGTCAAGGGCTTGGTAAGTGAAGGAGCCCCACGTGATTCCAGTCAGGCCTCGAGGCGTGGATCTCCATCAGGGGTGAGCTTTCTCCCCGGGGGGTAGGTGATGCCCATAGACATTCAGCAGTGGGCATCAGGGGACACTGCTCCTGATACCTAGTGGGTGGAGGCTGGAGATGCTGCTAAACGCCCTAGAGTGCACAGGACGGCCCCCACAGCGAAGAGTGGTCCAGTCCAAACTGTCAGTGGTGCTGAGGCTGAGAAACCCTAGAGGAGCCCCAGGCTTTACCAGCAGCTCCTGAAAGCTCCCCCATTTTCCCTTTTAGTCACACTGGATGAAGAGCTAGAGTGACAGCAGGGAGCCCTTGGTCCTACCAGGTCCCATCCCCTCACTACTGACCTTCTCTCGGGGGATGTCAGAGGATGTTGTGTTTTGAGAGGGATGGAAATGATGGGCGAGGATTAGAGAAGTTATCTTCATATGAGAGCTGATACATATGAGACTTTGTTGTTTGGGGAGCCTTCAGCTCTGCCGTATCCTGTCCCTTCCCCTCAAACCAACTCCCTCATATACACCATTAATGTCAGAGACGTCGGATACTCTGGAACACAGCTTTGAGATAATCCCCTTAATCTTTATCACCAACCCCTGCCCCTCAAACTCCCTAAATAAGCATACAACCCAAGAAACACTGCAGGTGGCAATTTTGAGACAATTCATCTGGCATCTTTTCCTATAAAGATGATACCCCTAAACCACTCTTGTAGAGAACAGCTAGGGAAATGCCTTGGCCCGTGATATCTCCTATGATCTGGGGTCCAGGCCCTCTCTCTCTCTCTCTGTCTAGGATCCAGGGGTCCCCAACCAATGGAGGGGAAGATGCAGCTTGGTTGGTCTGATCACATGCTTAATCATGTTTTTATTTAAACTTCAAGTGACTTCTGAGGAAGAGATTGCTATCCTGATTTATCAAGTAAAGAAACTGAACTTCAGACCTTTACCCCTAAACCACTCTTGTAGAGAACAGCTAGGGAAATGCCTTGGCCCGTGGTATCTCCTATGATCTGGGGTCCAGGCCCTCTCTCTCTCTCTCTGTCTAGGATCCAGGGGTCCCCAGCCAATGGAGGGGAAGATGCAGCTTGGTTGGTCTGATCACATGCTTAATCATGTTTTTATTTAAACTTCAAGTGACTTCTGAGGAAGAGATTGCCATCCTGATTTATCAAGTAAAGAAACTGAACTTCAGACCTGAGCTCACGCTAGGAGTTGGCCGAATGGGGATTTGAATGGGATGGGGGCTCCTGACAGTGACTCTTTTTCCCAAACCAACTGCAGGGGCAACCTCTTGGGCCCATCGTCCTTTAGAAGTGAGGCCCCAGAGCAGCCCTCCTCCTGGGTCTCCTGACCCACCTGCTCTCAATGAAGCACTCACCGTGGCCTCAGGTCCTGAGGGCCTTCCTTCCTCTCCCCTCCGGGGGCCTCAGATCCAGCGGGGGCTGTGAGCGTCTAGGCTGCAGGAGGACAAACACAGTGCAGAGTCTCCAGCTGGTTTTGCTCATCATGGAAAGACCCGAGGCTCTGATTGCAAAACTGGATTCAAGTTCAGTGAGGCAGGCACAGAAGTGTCAATGCCAAAGCAGCTCTTTTGGGGAGGGTGGGGAGCGGGGGTGGGGAGACCCCCCCCCCCAGGGCTTATTGAGCAATGGCTTGCACTTTTACTTTCCTTTCTGCTTCTTTCTCTAATAGATGTGCAATGAAGGAGCTAGCTGAATCTGAGTCAGGTCTGGTCTCACCTCTCCTGGTCCCAGCTGTTCCAAGAGCAGAGCGAGGGTGCTTAAGTTCTGCAAGGACTCTGAAGTCAAGCAGACCATGTGCAGCTGTGTGAGCCGCTTTCTCAACTGCCCTTGGCCTTGATTCCCCGTCTGTGAAATGGGTATTTAGTAAAACAGCCCTTGTGGCAGAGAGCCATTGTGAGGAGCCCAGGAGCAAATGAGGAGACGCCCAGCGTGGAACCAACCCCTAACAGATGCGTTCATGGTCCTGCCGTGAGAGCCCTCATCTGCTCTCCGAGGAGGGGGTGGACCTCAAAGTCTAAGACCTCTCTTCTGTGACTGTGAAATGCAAAAGGCTCTGGAAAACGGAAACGTTTTTTCATAATTCATGTGGTGGTAAAACCTGACCCGAGCTGGAAAAAATGTATAGTTTTGATGTATCCACCTTCTCTTTAAATATTCAGTTTCCCTGCAGAAATATACCTAGTGTTTGAACAAGGAGGGTGTTTGGGGGCTGATCTCAGGGCACACACACACACACACACACACACACACACACACACATATATATATATATATATATATAAAA